AGGACACTGCTGATGGAAGTAGCCATGCAAGCACCAGGAGACTCGTAATAATGATCAGTCACCCTCGAATGATCAAGGTCAGCTAGAATATGTAAGTCGGCTGGGAAAATATCAGATATTCCAGAAAGAAAGAAACAGGCTTTCTTACAAGGTGTATCAGAAAGATGTCCACAATTAGCTGGATATGAAAAGGAAGTCTGGGCAAAACTAAAAATGGCCATCCAGAACAGAAGGAAGTATGTCCGTGATCGGGCAGCAGGTAAAAGATCATCAAAGAAGAATCAAAACAAGGATGGAAATACTGGTACTACAGATGATCTAGAAAGGCAAAAGGTCAGTGCACAAGTGTTAACCGCGGGTGATCCAGTGGTATTCTGTGGGAAATCTGGCACGTAAGTGGGCAAAGGTATTTTTCTAAGACAGATGAATGATATGTATAGTGAAATAGTTGCAAAAACATTAATTCACCCAGACCAACAGGATGGTGATGATATGGAACTTCCAGAGGCAATGGAGAGTCAAATCTACTTGTGTAACGCACTCCTCAAAAAGAAAATAATCTGGAAAACCACTAGATTAGTGAAGGAAAAAGGTGCAGGTAACACAGTGAAGGCAAAAACTGCAGGTAACATTGAAAAGTATTTCGATAAAACACCTGTACCAAGTGCAAGTGATTCTTCAGATCTAGATGGAAATTTGTCAGCCACAGGCGATGGTGCATATGAGGCTCGGATTCTGAGCGCAAAGTTGTCGGCCATAAGCAGTGCATATGAGGCTCCGAGGGGAATACAAAGTTCGTCGGCTACGGGTAGTTCACGCGAGACTCCGAAGGGAACTAAAAATTCATCGGCTACAGGTAGTGCACGTGGTAGTGAAAAAAGACCATCTAATCAAAATCAGGAAGGACAAAAATCGGTTAAGAAGCAGTGTAAATCTATTCACGAAAAAGTGGTGGCTTCAAACAGTTCAAGGCATCAAGCACGTTCTAGTATAGGAAAATCCTCAAACCAGGGGAAACAAGGGATGTGTATTGCAGTTCCGGGGGACGTAGATGACCCAGATAATTATACCAGATATCGTACATATACAAATTTCGAACTGTACATTGCATGATAACATACAATAACATGTAATTAACAATATAAACAAGTTGCAATGTAGTGAATGTTCTGCAACCAGCTGCAGGTAGAAAGATCAATATGATTGTAGTACTAGTACAAACAATATTATGTAATTCAACACAATGATACATGTACATATATACAGTGAGTTCGAACAAAGAAGTCTATATAGCTATCTGAGGTCTCTGGTGGTTTTAGTTGATTTCTCATGCATGTCAATAATATTATTGCTTGGTTAGCAATATTAATCACTGACGCTGTACATAGTAATTATATGTACTTTCAGAATGTGCAGCGTAGATCTAGTTCTATTAATATTGCATGTATATGTTGCATTTGAATTTAAAATCTGGTACAAAACAAGTTTAAATATGCACGTTTATACAATTTACATTTTCATTTTATATCATTTACATGTACCATGTGATTTGTAAATTAGCATGTTCTTAAAACTATATATATTGATCAGGCCAAATAAAGAAAGTGTTTCTGGTTTCCCCATATCTACATACCCTGATTTTTGGTGACAACCCTAAAGTTTGTATTAGAATTTTCAAAGTCAGAAAGCTTAAGCCCATATATAGCAAGTTTCTACCGCAGTAAAAAAAATCTGAAAAAAAATCTACCTATAGTATACGTATATACCTACCTATTTTTTGAGATGAAACCAGAAACACATATATTTTTTTATTATTAATTCTCGATTAATATTTCATTTTCAAGTATTATATAAAGTACAGTTTAATTTCTCTCGTAAAGGTTTTTCTTTCAATTTCAAGTTTAATATTCATTAAAAATCAATGTAAATTTTGTTTTGTTAAAAATTTCATAGGTTACTATGAAAAATCTTTTAATACCCATAAACTGGAAACAGTTAATGATTTTTAATACTGCTTAATACCTATTAATTCGTGCTGCTTGATATGTATTAATTGTGGTCATCTTTTAATAGGTGTTAAACAGGTTATCCATTCTTTTTAATAGATGTTAAACCAGCAGGCTTGATTATATTTTAATATGTGTTAATTTTCACGATATCGCAGTCTTTTTAATGTGTGTTAAATATGGCCCGTTTAATGATATTTTAACATGCATTTTTAACACATCTGATCTTTTTTAATGGGTTTTAAACGGGCATGCTTGATGAATTATTAATACACATTTTTTCCCTGTTTTAATGAAAAACATTTAATGCAATTTTAAACCATTTTTAATACTGAAATGTATGCAGTAATGTATACAGCTACCAGCAAAATATCTGTGTTCGATCCATTTGAATCTATTAAATGATTTAAACATATGATGTCTGTGACCTTGAAAGTTTATAGCCTTCTGTCCCAGCATACTTCTAGCTAAATATCATTACCTTTGACCTTTTGAATATTCAGAACAATCATTTAAAGATTTAAGCATATTTGATCCCTGTTACCTTGAATATAAGCAAAGGTCATTCATTTGAACAAACTTGGTAGCCCTTCATCCCAGAATGTTGCTAGCCAAAGATCATTAGCCTATGCCTCTTGGATATTCAGGAGAAGTTTTTTAAAGGTTTTAAACATATTTGACCCCTGTGACCTTGAATATAAGTAGAGGTCATTTGTTTGAACAAACTTGGTAGCCCTTCATTCCAGCATGCTACAGGCCCAATATCAGTACCCTGGGCATTTTGGTTACTCAGAAGAAGTTGTTTGAAAATGTTTAACACATTTGACCCCTGTGACATTGAAAGTGGGTCTAGGTCATTCATTTGAACAAACTTGGAAGCCCTTCATCCCAGAATGTTGCTAGCCAAAGATCATTAGCCTGTGCCTCTTGGATATTCAGGAGAAGTTTTTTAAAGGTTTTAAACATATTTGACCCCTGTAACCTTGAATATAAGTAAAGGTCATTTGTTTGAACAAACTTGGTAGCCCTTCATCCCAGCAGGTTACTGGCAAAATATCATTATCCTATGCTATGCCTCTTGGATTTTCAGGAGAGGAGTTGTTTAAAGATTTTAAATATATTTAACCCATGTGACCTTGAAAAAGGGTTTGGTCATTCATCTGAACAAACTTGATAGCCCTTAATCCATGCATACTACAGGCCCAATATCAGTATTCTGGGCTTTTTGGCTACTGAGAAGAAGTCGTTTGAAGTTTTTAACACATTTGACCCCTGTCACCTTGAAAGTTGGTCAAGGTCTTTCATTTGAACAAACTTGGTAGCCCTTCATTCCAGCATGCTACAGGCCCGATATCAGTACCCTGGGCATTTTGGTTACTCAGAAGAAGTTGTTTGAAAATGTTTAACACATTTGAACCCTGTGACATTGAAAGTGGGTCTAGGTCATTCATTTGAACAAACTTGGAAGCCCTTCATCCCAGCAAATTATTGGCCAAATATCATTATTCTAGGCTTCTTAGTCATTCAGAAGAAGTCGTTTAAAGGTTTTAAACATATTTGACCCCTGTGACCTTGAATATAAGTAGAGGTCATTTGTTTGAACAAACTTGGTAGCCCTTTATCCCAGCATGCTACAGGCCCAATATCAGTACCCTGGGCATTTTGGTTACTCAGAAGAAGTTGTTTGAAAATGTTTAACACATTTGACCCCTGTGACATTGAAAGTGGGTCTAGGTCATTCATTTGAACAAACTTGGTAGCCCTTCATCCCAGCAAATTATTGGCCAAATATCATTATTCTAGGCTTCTTAGTCATTCAGAAGAAGTCGTTTAAAGGTTTTAAACATATTTGACCCCTGTGACCTTGAATACAAGTCAAGGTCATTCATTTGAACAAACTTTGTAGCCCGCTATTAAAGCAGCATGTTACTGGCCAAATAACATAATCCTGGCCGCTAAGTTATTCAGAAGTAGTTGTATAAAGATTTTTTAAGACAATTGACTCCCCTGACCTTGAAAATGAGTCAAGGTCATTTATTTGAACAAACTTGGTAGCCCTTCATCCCAGTTTGCTTCTGGCCAAATATCATCACCCTAGGTCTTTCGGTTATGAAGAAGTCATTTACAGTAAAATATTGACGCCGAAAGACGGATGGACAGCTGGACGACGGACGACGCACCACAGCATATGCTCACTTGGCACTTTGTGCCAGGTGAGCTAACAAGGGAACAAGGGGAACCTACATATAAAATTTGAGAAAGATCCCTCCCGTAATTCCCTCCCAAACTTTCACTATCAAAATCAAAGATGGCTATGTTGTTTTTACGATCAGTCTCAAAAGTTGCCCTGCACAGCTTAGGACCAAGGGGAACCTACATATAAAATTTGAGAAAGATCTCTCTGGTACTTCTTGAGAAATACCGATAACAAGAATTGTTTAAGGACGGACCACTGGCCACGGTACCGGACGACGGACCACAGACGCAGGGTGATTTAAATAGCCTACCATCAGATGATGGTGGGCTAAAAATCTCTGCACTCAGATGTACAAGATTCAAGTTTCTTTTATGGATGGAAATGCCCATAGTTTTAGTACCTTTGGTCATCTGTTCTCCTTGGTTTAAATAGGGAAATAACACTTCTGACTGTATCTTATCTATTTTCAACAAGAAATAATTCAAACTTAGTTGAAATTGAAATCGAATAGTATCAGAAAGTAAGATCCTGACTTATCCCAAGGGTTGGTCAAAGAGAATAATTGGTTAAATGACAATAGATATTATATTTCTCAACAGCAAAATAATTTTTGAATATTTTTTAAAGTTCCTATACTTTGGTTATATGACAAGTATTGTATTTCACATTGTTTACATGTTTATTACCTCATCACATCCCAACAATGAAATTGAGCTACCAGTACCTATAGTATAACTCAGGTGACCCCCAAGGCCCTTGGGCCTCTTGTTTACAGCATTTTCCTAAAGAGTACTCACATCTATCTTGCCTGATTTGACGTAGATGTTGATCATTTGTGTGTAGATCTTGGATGGTTCATTCTGTGCAACAGCCCTCTCCAGCACCTTGTGGAGCAGATCTGAGCTACCATACATGTTCTCTAGGTTCAGAAAGGCCACCCATACATTCTGTTTCTCCTGCTCCTCCCTGTGTACAGTACAATATTCAAATGGGAATTAACTTCCTCTATAAAGTACATTGAGAGATAAATTTCATGGGAACTTCAATGGTTCAGTAGAGTTTGTCATTAAACCCAATAAACACAGCCTTCATCTCCCTGTACCTGGAGGCTGGATACTTACCTAAAGGAGATGGTTTTGAGTGCCCGTACCTGGAGATTCAGTAATTACCTAAAGGAGATGGTTTTGGATGCCTATACCTTGAGGTTCGGTAATTACCGAAAGGAGATCGGTTTGAGTGCCTGTACCTGGAGGTTGGGTACTTACCTAAAGGAGATGGTTTTGGATGCCTGTACCTTGAGGTTGGGTACTTACCTAAAGGAGATGGTTTTGAGTGCCTGTACCTTGAGGTTGGGTACTTACCTAAAGGAGATGGTTTTGAGTGGCTGTACCTGGAGGTTGGGTACTTACCTAAAGGAGATGGTTTTGAGTGCCTGTACCTTGAGGTTGGGTAGTTACCTAAAGGAGATGGTTTTGAGTGACATACCTGGATGTTGGGTAATTACCTAAAGGAGATGGTTTTGAGTGCTGTACCTGGAGGTTGGGTACTTACCTAAGCAAGATGGTTTTGGATGCCTGTACCTGGAGGTTGGGTACTTACCTAAAGGTGTTGGTTTTGAGTGCCTGTACCTGGAGGTTGGATACTTACCTAAAGGAGATGGTTTTGAGTGCCTGTACCTGGAGGTTGGGTACTTACCTAAAGCAGATGGTTTTGAGTGCTGCACCTGGAGGTTGGATACTTACCTAAAGGAGTTGGTTTTGAGTGCCTGTACCTGGAGGTTGGGTACTTACCTGAAGGAGATGGTTTTGAGTGCCGTACCTGGAGGTTGGGTACTTACCTAAAGGAGATGGTTTTGAGTGCCTGTACCTTGAG